TTTTTTATTTTAATTTTAAATCAATAAATAATTATTTTTTATAAATATATTATGAAATATGTTAAACAAGTGTCTTTATTACTGTACAAATTAAAACCATTTAAATGAAGGAGAGAGAAAGAGAGCTTAATTGTTGTGCCTTAATAATTTCAGAGCTGCTGCCGCCCTGTTCTACAAACAATATTATTGTCAATCGTGTTGATGGCACAATTAATTAGAAACTTAATTAGTTTGCTTGCCTGCTTATATACCTTATTTGCGCTTAGCGTGACACCTGCTCCGGCCATGGCGAAGCTCAAACTTGCACATCCTTTGTCTTGTAATGTTTGTTGGATATCTGAGCTATTCTTGTATGCAGTAATTTTGCCCTCATTATCGGCCAGGCCTAAGTATTTGGCTGAAACCAGTGAAGTAAACATGGTTAATTGGTTACAAAAAGTTGGCAAATTATAGAAAAGTTTTTGAAGAATAAGTTCACGGATTTTCCTTTGATATATCGGGCATTGTTAATTAATTAGTTTTTAAAAAATATTAATTAAAATATGATGATTTTGGAGATATATATTCTCTAAAACGATGTCTTACAAAACACTATATAAGGATCTTACCAATATAATCAGGTACTACAAGACCATCCGAGAATCTTCCAGTGGGAACCGGGGGGTCAAGTGATTTCCCATATGGTTGGTCTTTAGATGGAAGACAAAGTTCATCAATACCGTAGCCAACATCAAAGAATGAGTCGCCGAAGACGATCAAGAGGGTGGACTTTTTAGATTCCGTGCAGATTCCTCCGTTAACTGCAGGAATGAAAAGGTTTGCGGTGGCACACAGAGTTAAGAAAAGAAGAGGAAGGGAATAGCCTAGCATTACTCCCATGACTGAGCTCTAATTCAAAGCTTCACTTCACACTAAATTTTGTGGTTTGGACGTACTTCTCCCAACCGCCTTTTATAATGCTCAGTTGCTCACAGATGCCCTTTTATCACCTTTGTTAACATATTTGATCTATTACTCTACTGCTTCAGATAGTAATTCTTAGAAGGCAGTGTGAACGGCGGAGTTGGTGTATACCTATTTCATTAACAAAACTTAGTATGTCAATGAATACTACAATTTCAACTTTATTAAGTCGAGTTTTTATTTTTTTTTTCAAAAAAAAAAAAAATAAATGTAATTATTAGTTTAACTGGTTATACCTATTTATAGCTAATTAGAGTATTTAAAAATGTTAACTTATGCACTAATTTCAATATATGAAATAATGAATATTAATTATTAGTCAAGTTTGTCTAACATGGATTTTTAAAATTGAGATTAAACTTTATTAATTTGGTATTTGTAATTAATTTTATACAAAATTTCATATTAAATTCTTTTTCTCTTTGATAAAATTTGAGTATAAATAATATATTATATTTTATATTTTATATTTTATATTTTATTTTAATTAAATCTTCTCACAAACAAGCATACTACATGCGAAGCAATTTGCATATCAACTTGTTTGTTACTTTTGTTATGGGGAAACGTTAGCTCATCGCTTGACCACACGTCTGTAGATAGCTGTATATTCAAATGGCAACAACGAGATTTAGGTGGAAGAAAAATGACTCCTCCCAAACGCAATAATTTAATCAATTCAAACTATCAAACTTACCTGATGATCACGTTTTAAGATTCCGTGATTCCCTGTGTTCGCCGACGCTTGAAAAGTTCTCATTTTTCATTTCACAAGGTACACTTCTTGCTTATGAGAATAAGAGGCTGATAAGAAATCCTGACAGGGTGGACGCACTGGATGCATCGTGGTTATCCAGGCGTCCACCGAAGGAACCCGGGGGGTGGGTGGGTAGAATTAAAGTTTTTAATGTAAAATTAATTATAAATATCATAATTAATAAAACTTAATTTATTCCTTTAAAATTCAAATTAAAAAATTTCTTGATTATCTTATTTATCAATTCATATCGATAACCATAAAATATTCTTAACAATTAAATGAAACACATTTATAATATGGATTTTTTTAATACGTGTCTTTAATATAGATTAAAAGTATATTAAATATATATATTTTTATTATAAATATGCATAAAAA